GGGGGGGGATGGGGGCATCCCGAATGTCTTTTGCATTGCTTCTAGAACATTCCGGAATAGACGCGGGCAGTTGCTGCACAGTTCCCAGACGAGCCCAAGTAAATCAGATGATTTGTTTTCGATTTTTTGTTTTTTTTTTCAAATCCACCTAATATAACTTTGGCACGTGGCCTGGGGGGAAAGGGCTGTTGCTACTTCCGCTCTGGTCAGAGGAGGGGGTCTCCTCACGCTGGGTCTTTCCTCCCCGGCTCTCACCCCCTCCCGCTCCCGGGAGCACAGCAGACCGGTGAGTAAGACGAAGCACAAGATGCTGACCCGACCGGTCCTCTCCCTACAAAGGAGAAATCCTCTCCGGTGCTGACTTCTCTCCTAACGGCCCTACTTTCTGGCTAGTAAATCACAGTGCTTTCCACCCTGCACCCCTGCCTGGATTTCGGTGGAAGGTATTTAAGACATGGTTGGCTTTTCAATTGTCGGCCCTGCCCAGAAGAACGCAAAGAGCACCGAAGATGGTTTAACGTATCTCGGTGTCTGTAAGAGGCACATTCACTAAATCCACGTTCCGTGTCTCTGGGTGGACTGAGCCGGGCCGCAGGGGCCCGGGGACCGAGCGAGGTGGGCCACTCGGTGCGGGAGGCCCTCGTGCAGGGCAGGGCGGTGGGTTCAGAGGCTGGGCGGGCCTCCCACCGTCCACCCGCACGACCCAGCCACGGAAGGAAGGCCGCGTGTCCCGGGTGGCAACCTGGAGTGGGGTCGGGGGTGGGGGGAGTTCAGGAGGAGGATGAGGCAGAGCCAGAAGGATCCCTAAGTGCTTGAGGAAGAGTCAAATCGAATCAGACAAGAAGGCAGCTACCACAAGGCCAGGTGCTGGGCCGAGGGCTTTGCAAGCAATGTCTCCTCTGATGCTCACGAAAGCCCTGTTAGCATCTCCGTTTTCTGACTGAGGACACTGAGGGCTTGGGAAGCCCCAGGACTTCCCCGGGGGCGCCTGGTTCTTTGGCCGTGGAACTCGGACAGTGACCCAA